ACTTTTATGGGCGAGCTTCCTTCTGGTGCGCTTCAAATCGGAGACATGCCGTCTGCCTTATTTGTAACAACTTCTGTAAATTGGAAAACATAGTGTGTAACCTATTGTAGTAAGTTATCAACATCTAGCACTACTTCGGCGTCAAATCAATGCCTGGAATTGCTGTAATTTAGGTTGTATTAGTTATGCTGTGTTTTGTGGATTACTAGTAAACACATCAATGCATGTTGCACGTGTAAACAATCATATTTTCTACCTCTTATGTTGTTTTTGACCCTGTCGTTAATATTGTGTGACTGGCAGTTAATGGTAGTAGCTATATATTGTATATTTCTCGTATTTGAAAATCGGATATCACTAAAAGCAATGCGATGTGGGTTTTTTCCCACACGTCAGCCACTTTGGCATGTAAATATTTTGAATTGTCAAGTTGTTTAACATCTAGTAAAAAATGTATTCGCACCGTTAACGACCTTTTGAACACTTAGTCACTTTGAGCAGTTAACATAATTCTAAAAAGTATCATCTACACTAGAAGCCTAAGTTAACCAAAACTGTTGCTTTCTTCAAACCATATAAGGTAGGAATTTTCATAATTTGATGATTTAATGGCATTTGTGAGGGCAACATTTGCTTTGATTCTGCGTCTTCTGGACTCCAGTAAAATAGCCACTCTGGCTTGCAAAATTCATGGAAACAGTTGTTTCCTATCACATAGACATAGACTTGAACCATTGTCACAGCATGTAACATTGTATGACTCATTGATTCCACAAGACTTGGACCATTGTCACAGTATGTAACATTGTATCACTAAATACTTCTACAAGACTTGAACCATTGTTACAGTATGTAACATTGTATCACTAAATACTTCTACAAGACTTGAACCATTGTTACAGTATGTTACATTGTATCACTAAATACTTCTACAAGACTTGGACCATTGTCATAGCACATAACATTGTATCACTAAATACTTCTACAAGACTTGAACCATTGTTACAGTATGTAACATTGTATCACTAAATACTTCTACAAGACTTGAACCATTGTTACAGTATGTTACATTGTATCACTAAATACTTCTACAAGACTTGGACCATTGTCATAGCACATAACATTGTATCACTAAATACTTCTACAAGAGTTGAACCATTGTTTACAGTATGTAACATTGTATCACTAAATGTTTCCACAAGACTTGGGCCATTGTCACAGTATGTAACATTGTATCACTAAATACTTCTACAAGACTTGAACCATTGTTACAGTATGTAACATTGTATCACTAAATACTTCTACAAGACTTGAACCATTGTTACAGTATGTAACATTGCATCACTAAATGTTTCCACAAGACTTGAACCATTGTTACAGTATGTAACATTGTATCACTAAATACTTCTTCAAGACTTGAAACATTGTTACAGTATGTAACATTGTATCACTAAATACTTCTACAAGAGTTTAACCATTGTTACAGTATGTTACATTGTATCACTAAATACTTCTACAAGACTTGGACCATTGTCACAGCACGTAACATTGTATCACTAAATACTTCTACAAGAGTTGAACCATTGTTACAGTATGTAACATTGTATCACTAAATGTTTCCACAAGACTTGGGCCATTGTCACAGTATGTAACATTGTATCACTAAATACTTCCACAAGACTTGAACCATTGTTACAGTATGTAACATTGTATCACTAAATACTTCTACAAGACTTGAACCATTGTCACAGTATGTAACATTGCATCACTAAATACTTCTACAAGACTTGGACCATTGTCACAGCATGTAACATTGTATCACTAAATACTTCTACAAGACTTGAACCATTGTTACAGTATGTAACATTGCATCACTAAATGTTTCCACAAGACTTGGACCATTGTCACAGTATGTAACATTGTATCACTAAATACTCCTACAAGACTTGAACCATTGTTACACTATGTAACATTGTATCACTAAATACTTCTACAAGACTTGAACCATTGTTACAGTATGTAACATTGTATCACTAAATACTTCTACAAGACTTGGACCATTGTCACAGCATGTAACATTGTATCACTAGATACTTCTACTAGACTTAAACCATTGTCACAGTATGTAATATTGTATCACTAAATACTTCTACAAGAGTTGAACCATTGTCACAGTATGTAACATTGTATCACTAAATACTTCTTCAAGACTTGGACCATTGTCACAGCATGTAACATTGTATCACTAAATACTTCTACAAGACTTGAACCATTGTTACAGTATGTAACATTGTATCACTAAATACTTCTACAAGACTTGAACCATTGTTACAGTATGTAACATTGTATCACTAAATACTTCTACAAGACTTGAATCATTGTTACAGTATGTAACACTGTATCACTAAATACTTCTACAAGACTTGAACCATTGTTACAGCATGTAACATTGTATCACTAAATACTTCTACTGGACTTAAACCATTGTCACAGTATGTAACATTGCATCACTAAATACTTCTACAAGACTTGGACCATTGTCACAGCATGTAACATTGTATCACTAAATACTTCTACAAGACTTGAACCATTGTTACAGTATGTAACATTGCATCACTAAATGTTTCCACAAGACTTGGACCATTGTCACAGTATGTAACATTGTATCACTAAATACTCCTACAAGACTTGAACCATTGTCACAGTATGTAACATTGTATCACTAAATACTCCTACAAGACTTGAACCGTTGTCACAGTATGTAACATTGCATCACTAAATACTCCTACAAGACTTGAACCATTGTCACAGTATGTAACATTGTATCACTAAATACTCCTACAAGACTTAAACCATTGTCACAGTATGTAACATTGCATCACTAAATGTTTCCACAAGACTTGGACCATTGTCACAGTATGTAACATTGTATCACTAAATACTCCTACAAGACTTGAACCATTGTCACAGTATGTAACATTGTATCACTAAATACTCCTACAAGACTTGGACCATTGTCACAGCATGTAACATTGTATCACTAGATACTTCTACTAGACTTAAACCATTGTCACAGTATGTAACATTGTATCACTAAATACTTCTACAAGACTTGGACCATTGTCACAGCATGTAACATTGTATCACTAAATACTCCTACAAGACTTGGACCATTACACTAGATAGCTGTGGTACAGCTGGTACAGACAATGCCTTTAATAGTATAGTAAGAATGGCAAAACTGTATAGTTGTCATTTTGCATCCATTATTAGAAGACATTTCTCTGTGTGTTTTCAAGCAGGAGAGGTTGAGCTACTGATACTTTGAGCCAATCGAACTCCTTGATTGCTGACTTTAGTATCTGCATTGCTTGATATGGTAAGAAGTTGGTTATATTCCATGCCTTCATTCAACACTAGTGGTGTAATAAATGTACCAGTCACCTGTAAATTGTGTACTGTTGTACTGGTAGTCATGGTAATGCTGTATATTTCAAGGATATCTCAATTTCTCTATTTTCTGCAGTCACAAATTTCCAGGTTGGATGATGTTTATTGTAAATATTTATTATCATATGATATGCTGAGCAAGGTAAGTAATTTTCAAATGTTTAGCCATACTTACCTCATATCAATCAATAGTAAGATATTGAATAAAACTTTTGTGCATTACCAATTTGAAAATACAACACATTTCTGGAAACTGGTCATCTGAGGTGTTGTATTGCGTCATCAAACGCAGTCCAAACTAGTTCTAAAGATTAATCCTGAAATTCTGACTTTTCTAATGGCATTAAGAAAATTGTAGTCGATCTAAAAATCATATTTGAACTGTTCAGAAGTCTGTTTTGATGGAAGGAATACTCTCCTGTGGTGATCAGGTATATCAGTTTAGGTTTTTTCTGTGAGAATACATAAGTTTAGAATGTCCATCTATGAACTTGTGCCAAACTTACTTCAGTATCACTGTATAGTCTTGTGTTTGAAAATTCAAAATTGTCAATTGTGAAAATTGTTCAAAAGTCACTTGATTTAGATAACCAGACAGAAGTGGTTGATTTAAGGAGTTAACTTGAGGCTTGTTGTGCATTCTGACTTAATTACCTACTTAACAGACCTTTCTAGTCATATGATGTTCAATACTGGTTTATTCTTCACTTCTTCATTAATTGCAACTTTTTTAGAGGCGTTATTTTTTCGCTCTGTGCCCAATCTACTAATGACAATTTTGATATGAAACTCTTTTAAGAGTTTCTCGATTACATTTTACTCACCCTACAGCTGAATCTTCTCACATATTATTCAATAGGATGAAAAAGAGAAGCTTGAGAGACAAGTGATTTTGGAAAGACAACGTAAGCCAAGAGGTTAGAATGCTATTATTCATATGTTCTGCTCGTAGCTGGAAATATATCTTTTGTTTTTTCTTGTACTTTGAAAAAAATCAATATTTGCTATTGGTATAGAATGCAGATGGAAAATACAATGTTTGTTTACACACAATTTGATCACATGACAACTGTGATTTTTTAATCATCCTTCAGTTGTTGCAGAAAATGACAGAAATAGTTGTGTGGCGAAGGGTAAATCAGTTGTTTTAACTCAGTTCTTCAGAGTAGCAAGGAATATGATGAATTTATGTTTCAAAAATGATCCAACTGTGACAGATGTTGAGGTAAGAATGTAATCTTGTACACATTATCCCTGTAATCCTGTAGATGGTATAGATAATCTCAATAAACTAAGAATGTCTGAACATGGCAATAAAGTTGTTTTTTTTCCCCTCAAATTTCTCGACTGTAACTGTTCTCTTCTTTGTTGGCTTGCCCGTAATGAGTGAAGGGAATGTCAAAGTGGTGGCAAAATGTCTGTCCTCTGTTGTCATTGTGGTGAACTTTTCTTGTGCACTTGATATCTCCAATAATATTTCGCCAATCGCCACTTACCTGCTTTTGAATTCCTTTAAATTGTTTCTTTAAAAGGTCAGTTTGAGTAATTGTCATAGTTTTGTTCCAACATTCTAATTAGATGATAACTACCAAAATTATATACATGTATATGATGACCTTGTCCACCCTATACAGGGATCTTGCCACCATATGCAGTAATCTTTACTACCCTATGTAGTCATATTCCCATTTTATGCTCTGATCCTATGTAATGATATATCCATCCTATGCAATGATCTGCCCACCATTACATGTGCATGTGTAGTTTGCCTACGTTTTTCTTTTTGTACATTTCACATGTTCAAATTAATATTACCCTACCACTGGATGACATTAGGCTGCTGCCTTCTTTTACAGGTGGTTCTTGTTCATTGAAATCAATATTTAGATGTCAATACATGTGCTGTACGTGTAATTTAATATTATAATTTTTCCTGCAGGAAGAATACTGGAAGTTAGTGAGTGAGAAATCTCAGCACATTGCAGTACAGTGGGCAAGAGTGGATACATCAGTAGCTGGCAGGTATAAACATTTCACATTTATCACACTTTATAGCATCGCATGATTCAGTACCCCTCAACTAGCACCATATAATCATCAGTTGCCTTTATACATGATGCAATGTGCTCTTTGTTATGAACCTCCAACTTCTTGTAAATTTTATCTTTAATAGTGTTGTCTGTGTTAATTTCGATTACTTCATATATTCTGTCATTTAGTTTCAATTTGATCACTCAAATGTACATTTAATATTTGTCACTGAAGATTGTATACAAACACAATTGACCTTTCTTAAAGTATAAAAAATTAACTTCAAATCAAATACACTGCGAATGTGTACAGCACAAGAATGTCCTGCCCATATGCAGAATGAATTATTTATATTGATTGATCTGTGTTCTGGAAATGAAAAAAAAAAATAATGTTTTGGCAATTTACACATTTTGTGGCCATGCTGGTTAGAAATGTAAACTCATTTTGATGTTTGACTTTCTAAAGTTTGCCAGAATTGTTCAGTTGAATAAGCTTAATGCTAAGCTTTCTAATAGGAGTTATAGAAAGACACATACTTCATGTTTCATACCATCTATGTGGCTGGCTGTGTTTTTTTGCAAGGGACTGATCATTGTTTTTCACTTTTTGCAGTGGGTTTCCCACAGGCAAATCACATCCCTATGCAAAGTAAGTCTGATAATTAATAAATTGTTTTGTTTTGCTTGAGTGCATTGCATGGATATCATTAACCACCTAATGCTTAACCATGATTATTAAATCCTTGTATGTATTCAACAGTGTCATCTATTGCTACTGTTTTATGCTTTACAAAACTGTGATGTTAACCTTCATCAACAAATCATACTTGGTACATCGTATTATCCTACTCAACAATTAATACAATATTTTATTTATTATAATTTTATTGTTTATATATGATATCAAGAATTTTGGGGGTATGTTAGTGTGTGGTAAGCAATGAAGATCTCACTGGAATTTGAAAAGTTGCGTGAAATGTGATCATGATCACAAAATTGTAAGACAAACCTACATTTCTAAAAATACTGATGTAAATTATTGCGTATGTGAAAAATCTGATTAGTATTCATCTCAGATTATTTTTGAACATGATACAAAAAGTGTTTAATGCGTGTGTTTTGCATATATCTTGCTGATTTTTTGCTCAATTGAAACTTTCTAAGCACACACTGCATTATGTGATGCTACATGATTGACATTCATAGAATGTAATCAAGTTCAACATTAGTACGTGTTAGATTCTCGTGAGACTTTCATTAACTATCACTCACTGTATAATGTTCTGAAAGTTGCATACTCTTATCTTATGAATCCTAGGCACAATTGGAATTTAAATAACCTAGCACGTAACCAAGGTAATCTGTTAAGTCATCTTGGAAGCGAACCTGATGTGACTATTCCTTGGTTGAAAGTGGGAATGGTATACAGCACAGAATTCTGGAAGTATGACCCATATGCTCTGCCATTTGTGGAATATCAACATACTGGTGCTGATAAAATATGGTAATCTTGATTTTTTTTTTTCATAGACATTAAAGAGCTCACCTTGCTCTATCTTGAGTTATTCTATATTTACCATCATTGTGAGTGTCCATTTGTCCATTTGGCTGCTCCACTATTCTATATCTTCCGATCTGATGAGATGCATTGTGGGAATATTGGCCGAGACTAAACCATGCTGTGGTTTTACTCATTAGTTATACCTGTTATGTCACTGTATTTATTTCAGGTATTGTGTGCCGCATAGTCATAAAGAGAAGTTTGAAACTGTCATGAAATCAGTTGTTCCCGAGATGTGTATCAATAATTCCAACCGTAATTATCTTGCTAAATCATCTGTCATGGTGAGAAAATCTCAGTTATAATTAACTATGGCAGGCATCGACTTGATGTTTTGATTATAATAATGACCTCCTTAGTTGCTCATAATTATTTAACTTTATTGCCATGTTCAGACATTCTTAGTTATTGAAATTATCTATACTTGACTTTCCTTTCAGGTGTCTCCAACCAATTTAGCCAAAGAGGGTGTGCCAATAACACGTGTAGTGATTGAGAATGGAGAATACTTAGTAACATTCCCTGGTTGTTATACATCCAGTATATGCTGTGGATACAATGTATCTGAGTGTATATACTATGCCTTGCCATCATGGGTCCAGTTTGCAACACAAGCCAATAAAGTAAGTCTATAGTGATTATCTCTATAAAATCCTCTAAGAATACTTTTTCACTTGCTTCTTGAAATTATAGTACTCCCAGAATATTTCCAACCCTTACCTGCCTCGTATTTAGTCCTCGTTCAGACGTAGCCTGAAAGGCGACTATTAATTCTAATTTCTGGTTTCCTTCTGTCCATCCCCCTTTATGTCTCCTTTATGTTTTCAGAAATTCTGCAGCAGATATCAATGAAACTAGGCAATTTTTTTTCCAAGATATTCATCCAAAATTACCTCTTCCTATTGCACTGACAGAGCATCTGAGCATGCTCAGAATATATAATTAGGTTAGATGGTAATGCTAGGGTTTTAAGTGACATCACGACCTTGATCTGAATCAGTGGCAGAAATGGACCACAGTCTGGTTTTTATTTGGTTTTATATGAAAACAAAATCTTGAAAAAAAGTGGTCAGAAATGTTGTTGTATATTATATCTTTAAACTGTAAAAATTGATTTACATTATTAAGAGCCATCACTGAAATACCTGGTCACAAAGTTGAAGATCAGTAAAAACACTTTGCAGTTTCTGTTTATAAATCTTGGCCAGACACATTAACACATGGTCTAAATATAGCTTCAGTTGTTCACATAGTTTATGTATGAGTACAATGCTTGAGACCTGCAATCTGATTGAGTTCAATCCTACAGACAAACTACAATTCTCAAAATGATTATTTTTCTCAGGTAACTAAAGAACTACGTCTTCCTCCTATGTTTTCATTTGAGAGATTAATATGTCTAGCATCTACAATAGAAGTAACTAAAGGCAATACAGAAATAATTGAGTGTTTGCTACATGAATTGAAACTTATCAGGTGAGAAATAAGAAGAGACATGCATCAACAAATGTTTGTATAACAAAAACGTACTAGGATGTTAACTACAATAATGGCCTCAGCATAGCCATTGGAGTGGCTGATCACACCATAACCATTGGTAGAGGGGCTAGCCTCAGCTTGACCATTGGTGGAAGAACTGGCCCCAGCATAACCATTGGTGCAGGGACTGGCCTCAGCATAAGCATGGTAGAAGGGCTAGCCTCAGCATAACCTTTGGTGGAGGGGTTGATCTCAGAATAATCATTGTGCAGGAGCTAGCCTCAGCTTGACCATTGGTGCAGGAGCTAGCCTCAGCTTGACCATTGGTGCAACAGCTAGCCTCAGCTTGACCATTGGTGCAGCAGCTGGTCTCACCATAACCATTGGTACAGGAGCTGACCTCAGCTTGACCATTGGTGGGGAGATGGCCTTGGCGAAGGAGTGAGGCCTCTGCATATTCATTAGCTGAGGGGCTGGTCTCACCATAACCATTGGTACAGGAGCTGACCTCAGCTTGACCATTGGTGGGGAAATGGCCTTGGCGAAGGAGTGAGGAGTGAGCTGAGGGGCTGGTCTCAGCATAACCATTGGTGCAGGGGCTAGCCTCAGCTTAACCATTGGTGGAAAAACTGGCCTCAGCATAACCATTGATCAAGGAACTGCATAATCATTACCGTAAAATCTGTATTAGAAGCCGCATCCCTAATAGAAGTCGCACCCATTCTTTTTGAATAATTGAGAACCAAAAATTCATCATTTCTCATATGTGTAGATGCTCTAATAGAAGCCGCATTCCCTCTGTTGCATTGTACCATTTTAATAGAAGCCGCGGTTTCTAATACAGATTTTACAGTAGTAGAGTGGCTGGCCCCAGCAAACCATTGGTGGAAAGGTTGGCCTCAGCAAACCATTGGTGGGGGAGATGGCCTTGGCAAAGGAGAGAGGCCTTTGCATATTCATTAGCTGAGGGGCTGGTCTCAGCATAACCATTTGTGCAATAACCATTGGTGTAGGAGCTAGCCTCAGCTTAACCATTGGTGGAAGAACTGGCCTCAGCATAACCATTGATCAAGGAACTGGTGTCAGCATAACCATAAGTAGAGGGGCTGGCCTCAGCATAACCATTGGTGGAAAGGCTGGCCTCAGCAAACCATTGGTGCAAGGCCTGGTCTCAGCATAACCATTGGTACAGGGCCTGGTCTCAGCATAACCATTGGTACAGGGCCTGGTCTCAGCATAACCATTGGTGGAAGAATTGGCCTCATCATAACCATTGGTGGAGGAATGGGTGTGCTGTGTTATTACTTATTATTTATCATTGTAGTATTAAATCATTGTATTCTTATTCAATGATAATAATGTTGAAACCAAAGTTTGCTGATAACAGACATGTATACATGTATGTCGTGTGATAAATATATTGTATTCTGTTTAGGGATCTTGAATTGCAGTTACGTGAGCAACTAATGTTGACAGGTGTTAAATCTATGGCTAAGATGGCTGTGACAAATGTTGTTATGAATCAAGATTTAAGAAGAAAGAAAATTTTGAAGATACAGGTGGACCCGGAAGATAAAAGATGTGATACATGTCAACAATTGTGTCACCTCTCACAGGTAAAGTTTTGAACACATACTAAGTGAAAATAAAATAGACCAATGGCCATCACACTTTGGCTTCTATAGAATTTGAACTGGACAAAACTGAATTATAAACCATAATGTTATTATGTTCTATGCTGAGTACTTGGTGTATCCTATCATCTGTCATCTAATAGTTGTTGTTCTTGTAGGTTGTAAATGATAAAGAAGAGGATACATACTGTTTACAGCATGCATTAAATTATATAAAGAAAGGAGGCAGTAAAGCGTGTAATGGTCTTAAGTTGATGTACAGATATGAAAAGGTATTCCACTCTTACATCAAGGCATATAATCTCATCACTGCATTTAATCAAACATTCACAATTGATATGTTCAGTTTAAAGATGTTGTAAATCCTTTCATTTCACTTTAGGAGCAGCTTAATAAATTGGTGGAGCAACTTGAAGATTGTCTCAATGACAAGAGTAAGATATCACCAGGAAGAGGAAGAACCAGCAATAAAAGAAAATGTACAGAGTCTGTAGTGGAACTATTATCATAACTGAAAAGTCATGTTAGTGTAGTTGTGAGACTGAGTGGATTAGACCAACCTGTATCTATGTAAATTGGTAGAATTAACACAATGCAGCCCTACATGTATGTTATGATTGACTTCAGTACCATTCAAGGAATAGATATTTTGTTTTCAAGTTAGGCTTAAAGCCCCAGCATGTTGTGTGAAGAAGCACTATGATCAAAATAAGTCAATGGCCATACAATTATTGGGATTTGTGGTCTATTTGACACTGCCTTTACTTCTAAATCTGAATCATTCCAGGTTCTAAATTTATACTGATGGTAACTGCTATGATTTGTCTGACCCCAAAAAGAAATCCCTTTTTTTGTGAAACCAAACCATTGTCAATAAATAACACCATGCTATAATGTCTATGCAACCACTTCTATTTGGTTATTGATCCACCTATTGTGTGTACTTAGTGTAGGTAAATAGAGGTATGCAACTTTTATGGAATATAACATGGGTGCCACTCACTGTGTTAGTCTCAAAACACCAAACATGTTGTGGTGAAAATGTGGATTAATACTGGTTTTTAACATCGTAGGAAGACCCCATCATGGCAATACATCTGCCAGTGAAAACAATAAAATTTGGATGTAAAAACCCCTTACAGACATATTTGAATGTGTTTTGGACATCTTCTTTATTTTAAAAATGTGTGTCATATTCAGGGCACACTTGAAAGTTATTTTCTGCCTCTTCCTGGAATTTTGGGCTGTTGTATGTCACTCAGTTATGACTACATGTATGAAAAGATGAATTATAAGGTTATCATGAGAATACCACAAAAGTATGCACTCGGACAGTGCAGTATAATATCAACTAATACTAAGAAACAATCATGCTGCCTTCATTCATACTTTGGAGTATTCTCATAGTATGACTTATGCTGAACCCCTATACATTGATTTGCATACCACTATTCCTCTACTCATATTACGGGTCACAATATATGCAGCCAATCCATCATATCATCAACTATCTCAGGTAATTTAGCGAACTATTTCACCAACCATTTGTTTGCTGTACAACCGTGGTGGCTTATATAAACAATATACTGGCAGACTATTTTTATATATATATAAAAAAACAAGCAGAAAGTTTAATATAAACACATTGATGTCAGGGATATTCCATTGAGGGGGACCGTCACTAATTGAGATGTGCTAATCGGATAGCCCAGTATGGTAATATTTAACTTAGCTGAGGAGTTTTAGTTGAATGTACAGCCCCCCCCCCCCCCCCCCATCAAGGCTGGGAAAAGACTTAAGACATTATTCACCCTACAGTGCCTAGTTTTTCTGCACTGGCAGTATCAGGTGAGTCA